GGGGGCCGTGTGGAGGGGGCCGTGTGGAGGGGCCCATGTGGAGGGGGCGGTGTGGAGGGGGCGTGTGGAGGGGGCCGTGTGTAGGGGCTGTGTGGAGGGGCTGTGAGCATGGCTGTGGCCCAAGCCTCAGGGTAGCCTGCCTGGGTCTGGCCGGGTGTCTTCGAGCCTGGCCGGGTGTGTCAGAGCCAGTGGCCAGAGTCGGCTTTGTATGGCCTGCCCGGCCATCTCCTCTTGGACAAGGCTGAGGGTAGCCAGGCCTCTAATTGTCTTCTCCACATGCCAGATGTTAACAGACATCTGGCATAATTCTCCGTGTCTGTCCACAAGGCCCAGCGGAAGGACAGAAATAGGAATCCCCAGCGGGGCGGGAGCGGCTTCTCCAGTCAGCCAGGGGCCAGGGCTGCGTCGCCTCTGCTGGGACACAGGGGGCTGGGCCGGCCACAGTGTGACGCTTGCACAAGTTAGGGGTGGGCTGGCCAGATTTTTGCTGCTCTTGGGGTCTGTGGTGTGTGGCGAAGGTGACCGGCAGGGGATGCCTGGGTGTGGGCAGTATGCACATGTGTGTGTGTGCATGTGTGTGCATGTGTGTGTGTGCGTGTGTGTGTGCCTGTATGCCTCTTTGCCTGTGTGTGTGTGCATGTGCCTGTGTGCATGTGCATGTGTGTGTCTGTGCATATGTGTGTGTGTGCAAGTGTGTGCCTGTATGCCTGTGTGTGTGTGTGCACATGTGCATGTAGGTCTTGGCTCATCCCTGCTTCATGGCAGATGTCACCTGCTGCATCCCCCAACACTGGTGTGCACGTTTCCTAATGGTCCGCAGGTCTGGGATCTTGCCCCAGCTTCTTGGAAGGAAGCAGACAGTCCCTGCGCTGGACCAGGGCAGGTCAGCCGTGTACTAACGGGAGGGGCCTCTGGGAAGCGCCCCCACGCCCACACCTGAGCCAGCACCAGCTGCCTTTCCCCACTGCACGGGAGCTGTGGGCAGTCTTGCCCTCGGCAGCAGTGGGGCTCGTGGCTGTCTATAGAAAGCAGCCTTCGGTGGCTGATGCCATGAGTGAGTTACAGCTGGTGTCTCACCAGACCCCCAGCCAGGCTGGCCCGGGTTCAAACAGGAGGCATCCAATCGGGTTCTTTATTACACGTGCCTGGGGCACACACATGATTGATTCCTTTCACAGAAAGGAGAGGACCCCAGGATGGACCTGTCAAAGAGGTGGCTACCATGCACATGGCCCTGCAGCAGGCCACGGGGCTCAAGCTCACCCTGGTTTCCAGTGAGTTGAAGGGTGGCGTGGCGTGGTCTTCCTCACACACAGACAGTGAAGGGGACAGTGGTGTTCAGGGCACAGGGCGGCACCACTGTGGCCTCTTAGTTCTCTGTTTTGGGTTGAGACTAGCAGGGACGCACGGGCCCCTCCTCTAAATGCAGAGGACAGCAGCTGTGCACGTGTGCTGGAGTCTTGTGCAGGAGGAGGAGCCCTGGGGAGACCCCACCCCGGAGGCCTTCCAAAGCCTGAGGTGCTGAGGCTGCATGACCCATGGAGCCCATCCTGATCAGAGCAGTTGCCACTCACAGCCAGCTCCCCACTCCCTATGTGTCACCAAAGCCTCTCTCCTTCCCCATCTGGGCTGCACCAGCCCCACCCTGCCCAGGGCAATGACCTAAGGAAGCCACCTGTGAGCAGAGCGGGCCCTAAGGCATCATGGCTGAGATGGTAGCAGAGTTGGCTTTAGCCTGGGGGCAGTGGGGTCTTACTTGGAAGGGAAAGTACAGTCATTGACTAATTTCTGTGTGTCACTCACATGGGTGGTGGGTGAGGGTCTGGGCTGGGTCTGAGGTGACAGCGCTGGGCTTGCATCTCAGGAGGGGCCTCCGTCTGGCAGGCCCAGCACTTGCAAGCAGGAACTGCAGGAGGGTCCAGGTCTGGAAGGGGCCTGGGTCCTGCACAGGGACAGCCACCATGAACTCAGCTCGGGAGCCCTGTCTCTCAGGGAGCTGGCGTAAACGTCAGAGCTCTCTCTCCAGGGTTGGGGTCCAGCTGTCACCTCTCCCAGGTTAGGACGGGTGAGGGGCTGAGGTCAATGCCATGGCTTTGGACCTGCCAGACCTTGAACCTGCTCCCTGGAGACCCAACAGAAGGAGCTCCCGGTCGGGCAGGCGTGAGGTATGGGACTGTCACCTCCCAGGTTGATGTCAGAGCTGGTTCCACGCCTGTCCCAGGTGAGCCTGTGGAGCCTGCTGGCTATGGAGGTGGGGGCAGCATCCGGTGGGCAGGAAGGGCCAAGGGCCATGTGGCAGTGGGTGG